GATCAAAATGCTCATTAGAACCAGGTTATAAAAGGTCATGAAGGTTTTTAGCTTATTTCAAAGAGCAGATTATGCAAAACACACGGGAAATATATGGCACTGGTGAACAAATAGGGTCATTTTAATTATTAATTTGTATTATATAGCAAGTATTTTATTAAAGGCAAAGAAAGAGCCTGTTTTACTAATTGGATTTAGTGTGGATTTATTAGAGAACCATGGTAATTGTAAATATTGTTAATTTTGTTATAGGGACATTGTGGTGTTGGTTCCATTGGACTACAGTCGGGTTAGGATACATGCATTCCACTAGTGGATTAGGCAATAAATTGTTCTACTCCCCTGCCACTGTTTTAAGAATGAGGTGTTATCTATATTGACAAAAAAAATAAACAAATCTTTTTAGGGTTACTGCAAGCACCACAACCACTTCAGTGATCTGAATTGGTAATGGTGTCAGGAGTCTGTATGTGTAAAAACGCCCTGTGGTCTGGTCATTTGCCACAAACTCCTAGAGGAGCCTGCTAGCCAGCCTCCTGCTCCAGGATTATGGGCCATACAAAATACCCTGTCAACTACTCTGTTTGTGTGATTTGGGGCTATGTTGTTCGGGAACCGAACAACCGCACGGACCAGAGACCGCCCGGGAGCTTGTTAAGCCCAATTGACACTGTATTCCAGGGTAGAACTGTTGTAGAATTATTAGGCCTCTATAAATTTGTAAGGCCCCTTTAAATCCTCTTGCTATACCTCTAAGAGGCCCCCATAGTTTTACAAGGAAGCTTTGTCTATAGAACATAGAATTTGCATGTCAGCAAGAAATAGCTTTGATAAAATGTGTATTTACTAAAATCCTTGAAACTTAACCTTGAGAAACTAACAAGTGCCAGCTACGCTCCAAATGGATAGCTGCCAAAAGGCCCCTCCCGTCGAGTGAGCTCCTCATTTTAACAAAATGGCGCTAAAACCTGTAGGAGTTAAGAAATTACGTAGATAGTGACCTAAGAATGGGGAGGGCATTTTACTAACATCTTAGCACCTAAGCCAATTAACAATGTCTATTTGTCTATATCTTGATTTTCTTCAATGATGTAATAATGCCTTTATAAGGGTCTGCGCACCCATTTTCTGTCAGAAGCCATTAAACTTCTCTGAAGTTCTTTCATTACCCTGAACCTTGTGTCTCAGTGTGAATTTACTTCTGCGTGCACGCAACTTTATTATCTTTAATTTGGACAGGAACAGATAGTCATTCAAACTAATTGGTTTGCAGTAAATTATCTAGAACAATTGGCGCTCCAACGTGGGGCTCTGGGCTATGTCCAGTCTGGGCAGCTGTCCAAGAAGACGCTGGGGGGGCTGAATCCTGGGGGAAGGAAAAGAGCCTGATCACCTCTGAATACACGGTAGAGATTGCTGCAGCACCTAGCCGGTATGTTCCTACCCCTGTGATTGACCTGCCCCAGTGTCTGTGACTGCTGCCGAGAGGACATCAAAGTCAGGTAATAACTTGCCCAGAGTCTTTGTATTGTTAATGATACCTAGTTTACCTGCATGTTGACTATCTGTTGCCTGGGTGTGTTTGTATTGGTATGTGTTTAACTTAGTACCCGGGGAGTGTAAGTGCCTGTTTAACCCCTTTTAGGTACCACATGCCTGTGGTAGTAAGGAAAAAGGGGGGTGGACCTGTGGAAGTTTTCCTGGGGGTCCTCTATTGCCTGTTTAACCCCTTTTAGGTACCACATGCCTGTGGTAGTAAGGAAAAAGGGGGGTGGACCTGTGGAAGTTTTCCTGGGGGTCCTCTATTGCCTGTTTAACTCTTTTAGGAGCCACGTGGCTGTGGCTGTAAGGAAAAAGAGTAGGGGGAATCTGTGGAGGATGATGTAGACTCATTGCTTCCTGGGGGTTCCCCAGAGTGTCATTTTGACCGCTTAGCTAGCCTCATCGGACACTTCTTCTTGGTAAAATTCCAGCCTCGAGCGCTGAGGCAGGTAAGATTCCAATTCTTTAGGCTATACAGGATTCGGGTTGGAAGCTGTTGCTGTTTCCTGTGGCTGCTGGTAGTGAGACTTGCGGGTGGGTCCGCAACAGGGACACTACGAGGTTGAGGGAGGTGGCTTTTGGCCACACGAGTAAAGGCAAGGGATAAAACTGTTGAACTTATTTGAACTGTGATGCATTCACTGTATTTACACTGAAATGTTATTGTCTTAATTGTCTGTCACACAGATTCCTGTGTTTACTTCTATCTTACTCACTGTACTATTTACACTTTCCCCTCCTATTTCTCTTTCTCTTTGTTGAGAGAAGTGATTGGTCACACACTTCTCGCCACGCTCCAATCCGCGGCTACCACGGGTAGGCGGAATCAGTGACTAGTCTACGTTTTGGGAAGACGTACTTAAAGAGCTTGCTCTTAAAGTAGCAGTCGAGCACGGTAGACGTTCTGTTCCTTTCTCTCTCTATATCTGGGACGCCTTGTATAGGGAGGATGGGACAGAAGTTAGATAAACCCAGTAAGGGTTGGTTAGCATGTGATCTAGTGGAAGACAGAGAAGGAGAAGAGATGGTTAAGAAAGTGAGTAAGATTGCTAAAGTATGTGGAATTACCGTACCTCTGTGCGGCAGATTGTAGCCAGAGAGCTGGCGTAAGTTACTGACAGAAGAAAGGGAAGCTGTCGGACCAAGATTTGGTTTGTACAGCAGAAGCCTGGTACCGAGTAGCAAGAGCTATTCAGCAAAAGGGATAGGTTGAGGAAGATATTGATCACAAAGGTTTAAGATTGTATGTATATCATAATAATTGTGTTACTGGGATGTTATCCCAGCAGTGCTCTGTCCAGGAGGTGACCACTTCCATCATCCTGTCAGTAATGACCGAAATGTAGCTGACCATGGTCACCATCCCACCCCAATCTTAAAACGCTGTGGGGTTTTTGTATTTTGTGTTAGCCATTACCCTGGTAGAGGGTGGGGGTATAAATGAAATGTTGTGTTTTTGTGTCTCTTTGCTTTGTAATGTAATTGTCCTTCTGTCTTGTTACTGTACAGCGTTGACATGGTTAAATTCGTGCTGGCAGGCAGTCTCTCTCTTGTTCCACTCAAATCCCCCTCTGCTAAAACACCCCCCCCTCCCCTCGCTTCTGTGAGACGCGGGGGGGAGGGGGCGGAGGGGGGTGGTGACATGCTTGCGATTTAGGTCTGTCTCTTCGGTGTTCTGTAGAGTTATTCAGAAGCTACTGATAAGAGTATAAGGTACTGAGGATTGTGGGAGTGACGAGCTCACATGATTGCATTCAGTGTTGAATACGGGATTTAGGAAGGTGTAGAGGGAATATGCGATGTTGTTAAGTCAGTATAAGAGGAGGAAAGTGATTAATGGTTTGAGGAAGATAAGGGAATTTGGTTGAATTCCGCGAGTTTATTTTGCATCATGCAGTTATTTTAAAGTACATGTTTCTAGAAACAGCTGTATGGGCTGTTAAATGCATAATGTTCTCAACTGTCTTATTTAACCTGCCAGGTCTGTTCATAGTTTAGTATTTCATTTTGCAGAACGGAATGTTGCTTCTCTGACTTATTTTAATAGTTATAATATAGTGTATTGTTGAAAGTGACGTCACTTCCGCCCTTACCATGCCCACACCTCCTGTCTTCCTTTCCCACACCTATCATGGACGTCATCTCACTTCCTCCCTTGCTGTCATTTCCTTCCCCGCCCCTGTCATGGCTGCCTCCATCATGAGGCCTACCCCTATTATGCTCGCCCCATTTAGATAATTACTAAAACAATCATGCCATTTGTTTCCCTGTATCAACAATTTGTCCGTGATATAAAAAAAAAAAAAAAGAAGGTTGCTAAAATGTAATTTGCAAATGTGGTGTGACCTACATATGAAATCTGTTGGACACGAATATAAGAGCATAACAGCTGATTATCCAGATTAATCTTGCAACAAGGGAAATAGCCAAATAATGCAAGTTATTTTAAACATTGTATCTTTGCTTAATCGAATCTTGCTAGTTACAGATCGTATGTTTACAGTAACATCCTTTACTTTAAATGATGGTTTAGCATTAGAAGGGTTTGTGGCATGTTTTATTAACCCAGCCACTACTGGTTGTTTACTTAGTTACAGGGTGGTATAATTGTTATAGTCTAATTAATATAAATGATAGTACCGCAATAGTTAATGTTTTATCCAAAGACATATAGGAACTTTACTTCACTTACTATTAACCATTATTTATAATGATAGACATGTTCAGACTGCAAAAAGCTATGGCTAATGACATAGAAAGGGGTTTGAGTCAGTAACACAGCCCATACTGAGGAGAGCAAACCCGCTGATGCTTAATGCCCCTGCCATGGCAGTGTCTTCAGGGGAACAGGGGGGCCTCTAGCTACTGTAATTTTACCCATTGAGGGCCAGCCCACCACTTTCCTAGTTGACACAGGTGCAGCCCGAAGTGTTCTGAGAGAACAAGACCTGCCCGATACCTCATTTCTTTCCAATATTGATGTCTCCTGTGTTGGGGTGGACGGCCTTCCAAGGCAAAGTCCCCTGTCCACCCCACTGCGGGTTGGTAACTGCCACAACTTGCTTGCTCGCTTTGTGGTATCTTCCACATGCCCCATTAACCTGTTAGGAGCTGATGTTCTTTCACGCCTGCAGGCATCCATCACCTTTACTCCAGATGGACAAGTGGAACTATCCACCCCTCTATCTGTCTCAGACACCTCAGCTTTGTGCTCCTTACCCCTGATGCTACATCTAGAAGAGCCTCATGGGGATGCAAAAGACCTAAGGACTAATTTCCCTGATTCACTAAAGACTGATGTTCCCAAGAAGCTGTGGTCCACAGGCCCAGAGGACATAGGCCATCTAAAGGTCCCGCCTGTGGTGGTAAAGCTCATCCCAGGCGTAAAATTGCCACGAAAATCACAGTATCCTTTGAAACCAGCTCAAGCTGCAGCCATTACAATTCAAATTCAAGCACTCCTGGAGAAGGGTGCTCTTGTCAAATGTGAATCACCATGCAATACTCCATTATTTCCAGTAAAGAAAAAGACTCCAAAAGGCGAACCAGAAAAGTACAGATTGGTCCAAGACCTCAGAGCGGTAAATGAAGCCACAGTTTTGGACACTCCAATAGTGCCCAACCCACACACTCTCCTTTCCGGCGTTCCACCCTCTGCCAAGTACTTCACTGTCATTGATCTAGCCAATGCCTTCTTCAGTGTTCCCCTGGATCCAACTTGCCAATATCTGTTTGCTTTCACACATGACAAACAACAGTACACATGGACTGTCATGCCCCAAGGGGCACAAAATTCACCAAGTCAATTTGCGAAGGCCATGTGCTCTATCCTTGATCCATGGCAATCTGACCATCCTGAGGTCGTCCTGCTTCAATATGTGGATGATTTGCTGCTTTGTGGAGATGATATACCCACAACAGAACAATGCTCACTTAATCTTCTTTGCTACCTAGCAGAACAAGGATGTAAAGCTTCACGTCTCAAGCTGCAATTCTGCCAACCTACTGTTATTTTCCTTGGCCATTGTCTGTCTCAGGGAACCAGACATCTTACCCGTGACCGAGTTAGAGCGGTACTGGACATTCCACCTCCAAGGACCTCGAAGTCACTACACGCCTTCCTAGGCCTCATTTCCTATTGCCGAGCATGGATCCCAGAAGCCTCGCTCCTTATGCAACCTCTTTATGATGCTCTCAAGTCAGACCCATTTTGCTTGTCCACAGAAGCCCTTGACAACTTCTGTTCTCTCAAACGTGCTATTGCTTCTGCTCCTGCTCTTGGCCTACCAGACTATACCAAACCCTTCAAATTGTTTGTTTCTGAAAGACAAGGCCATGCAACAGGAGT